TGGGTATCAATCCCCCCCCCCCCGATGGAAAACACCCTTGTCCTCAAGGGTGAATGCAGGAAATCTGATCCTTATGAGTGAAGCAAACTCCCAAGTGGCATACACAACATCCAAACCTTGCCATTTAATCAAACATTGGGCGACTGCTTTTTTAATCAAACATTGGGCGACTGCTTTGTTGCCTTTCTTGACCAATCTGCGACCAATGACAGCCTCAGGAGCAGGGCATAAAGGATTGGAGATGTCCAATATAGGTGGATGAATTATTTCAGAAGGAATGGTATGACACAATTTGAAATGAGAAATATGAAAAGTAGGATGAATTTGGACTTCAGGAGGAAGCAGCAACTTATAAGCAACTGCACCAATCTTTTCGACAATGGGATAAGGACCAAAATAGCAGGAAGTAAGCTTATGATAGGGGGAGACAGAAAGGGTGGACTGCCTATATGGCTGTAGCTTCACAAAGACCCAATCACCCACTGCAAAATGCTTGTCAGGGCGATGAGCATTTGCTTGATCCTGCATACGCTGTTGAGCTCTAGCTAAATGATATTTAGCCAACTGCATTTTAAATTCTCGAAGCAGCATAATGTTCTCAACCGAATCAGAAGAAGAATCACTAGGAAGATATGGGAGATGAAGAGGAGGAGGGTAACCATAAAGCAATTCAAAAGGAGAAGTCTGAATTGCAGAATGAGGGGAGGAATTATACCACCATTCAGCTAAAGGCAGGAAGGCACACCAATCAGCTAGGGAATCAGAACAAAAACAGCGTAAGTAAGTCTCCAAACATCTATTGAGGACCTCTGTTTGACCATCAGTTTGAGGATGATAAGCTGTGGAAGTGTGTAAAGTGACACCCTGAGAAGACAGAAACTCCTTCCAAAAGGTACTGATAAAGATGGGATCACGATCACTGGTTATAGTAGCAGGGAAGCCATGTAACTTGAAGATGTGGTCAAGGAAGATAGGAACGAGAGATTGGGCCGTGTAAGGGTGAGCAAGAGCAATGAAGTGACCATATTTGGTCAACCTATCAACTACAACCCAAATCACTGTTCTTCCCTTAGATTTGGCAAGCCTTTAATAAAATCCATATTTATATCCGTCCATGGGACTGCAGGCAGAGGCAAAGGTTGCAACAACCCAGCTGTGGCAGAAGTATCATATTTATTCCTTAGGCACACAGAACAATTGCGTACATAGGCAAGTACATCAGTTCTGATACCTTTCCAATAGAAATAAGCCAATAATTTCCTAGTGGTGGCATCAATGCCAGAGTGACCACCAGAGGAAGAGGAATGCCACAGCTGCAATATCTTGGTTCTCAAGCCCATGTCATTTCCTATAACCAATTTACCCTTTCTCCTGAGCTGATTGTTTATCCATGTAAAGTGCTTCTGTGGCTTCTCCTGCAGGGATTTGATGAGACTATGTAGCTCAGGGTCGTTAGTCCAACTATTCTGGATATCAGTTCAAAGATTAGCTTGTACACAAGAGACCATTAAAGTCATGATTTCAGAACCTGAAATTCTGGATAAGGAATCAGCAGCCACATTCTCTTTTCCCTTCTTGTATTGAATTTCAAAATCAAAGGGTAACAACTTGGCCAGACACCTAATTTGTGAATCAGTATGCAACATCTGCTCTAAGAGATACTTAAGAGCTTTTTGATCTGTCTTCACAATGAAGTGTTGGCCCAAAAGATAGTGAAACCATTTGGTAACTGCAAAGACCAAGGCCAGCAATTCCTTCTCATATACAGATAAGGCCATATGTCTGGGAGCTAAACCTTTGCTAATGAAAGCTATGGGATGTCCAGACTGCATAAGAACAGCTCCTATGCATGTGCCACTCGCATCTGTTTCAACCACAAAGGGAATGGCATAGTTAGGTAATGCTAAGACAGGAGCAGAAGTTAGAGCTAACTTTAACTCTGCAAATTCCTCTGCATCTTTATCAGACCACAGAAATCCATCTTTCTTGCAATTCAGTTAATGGTCTGCTTATAAAACCATAGCCTCGAATGAACTTTCTGTAATAGCCAGCTAGCCCCAAGAATCCCCTCAATTGTTTAAGTGTAGTGGGAGTTGGCCATTGTTGAACTGCTTGAATCTTCCTTGGGTCAGTAGAAACTCCTTCAGCAGAAATAAAATGCCCTAGATATTCCACTCTTGAAACACCAAAGGCATACTTGGACTGTTTGGCTAATAAGCTGTGGGTGACCATAGTATCAAACACCTGCTGCAGATGCCCCAAATGATCTTGCAGGCTAACACTGTAGATTAAAATATCATCAAAGAACACCAGAACAAACTTTCTTAAAAATTTCTGAAACGAGTGGTTCATGAGGCATTGAAAGGTAGATAGAGCATTGGTTAAGCCAAAAGGCATTGCCAAATACTCATAATGCCCTAGATGTGTTTTGAATGTTGTTTTTGGGACATCATCATTCACCATCCTTATTTGGTGATAGCCCGACCTGAGGTCAATTTTAGAAAAAATGGTGGCCCCAGCAAGCTCATCCAATAGATCATCTATAAAGGGTATTGGAAACTTGTCCTTGACTGTGCATTGATTCAGCTCCCTATAGTCTACGCATAGCCTCCATGATCCATCTTTTTTTCCCACAAGTACCACAGGGGAGGAAAAAGGACTGCTACTGTATTGAATTACTCCTTATTGCAACATTTCATTAACCAGTTTTTCGATAATGTCCTTCTTAATGGAAGAGTACCTGTAAGCCCTAACATTCACAGGTTTAGAACCAGGTTGGAGAGGTATTCTGTGGTTGAAAGCACCTCTCTGTGGAGGTAGAGTAGTAGGTTCAGCAAAGATCACTTGATATTGTTGTAAAAGTTGTTCAATAGGAGGAGCATTATCGGATTTGGCCATGTGCAGAGCTTGACATGGCATAGCACTTGCTGAGGTAGGAGTACTGTCCATCACCTGCAACATAAAGAATTGTACATCCTCTCCCTTTAGCATGTTCAAAGATTTTGGACTGTAAACTTTACATTCTTCACATACTCCTAGTAGCAAATGATACTTCCCCTGATAATTGAAAGCCATAGTCAGCTCAGAATAATCCTTGGTAATAGGTCCTAGTGTTTTCATCCACAAAGCCCCTAAGACCAAGTCATATTTACCCACTGGAAATACAATTAAGTCAGAAGAAAATGTAGTTCCCTGCAAGATCCACTCAAAGTTTCTAACCACTCGAGAAGTAGCTTCCAAAGTATTGTTACCAAGGCTCACATAGCTTACCCTGGTAGGGCAGATTTGGCAACCCAACCTCTTAGTAGCCTTCTCATCAATGAAGTTATGAGTACTACCTCCATCAAGGAGGATTTGTATTGGTCTCTTTTCACTATATCCAGTGACATGTATTGTTTGAGCCCCTTGCAATCCACTTAAGGCACATAGGGAGATCATAGGAGTATCCCCTTCCACAGCTGACCACTCTTCACTAGAAGGACTTCCTTCAGATTCCGGCCTAGCAACCTCCACACCTTCACCTTCTGAGACTTCTAGGTCCATCACAAATAGTTGTTTAGGTAGGTTACATTTGTGTCCAACAGTGTACTTCTCATCACAAAAATAGCATAAACCTTGGGCTCTTCTAGCCTGCATTTCTACAGGATAAATAGTTCTCCTATTTCTAGGGGCAATGGCATTGGCGAAGGAGGTAAGGCTAGTCTAGGAGCAGAGGTAGTGGTAATAGGAATAGCTTTGGTTGGATGTGGCTCATAGGAGGACTTTTTGAGGTGTGTGGATGACATAGGTGCAGGACTACACCTTAGTGCTCTAGCATTAGCAGCTAAGGTCGCTTCAGCTAATCGAGCTAAGCGATATGTTTTGGACATGGTTTGAGGCTCATGCATTTTAATGGGGTTCACTAACTCATCCTTCAATCCTCCTAAAAAACAAGAGATAGCCTGGCTAACAGTTAAGTCACATTGAGCTAGCAGTCTGGCAAAGGCAAATTGAAACTCCTTCACTGAACCAGTTTGTTTCAGTTGCTTCAGCTCTAGCATAGGATCTGTATATTCTTCACTAAATGTTTCAATCAAAGCTTCAATATACTCATCCCAGACAAGAGGGGTTGCTGATGGTAAACAACCTCCACTTCCAACCAAGAGGTTGTGAGTTCGAGTCTCCCCAAGAACAAGGTGGAAGTTCTTGGAGGGAAGGATGCTGAGGGTCTATTTGGAAACAGCCTCTCTATCCCAGGGTAGGGGTAAGGTCTGCGTACACACTACCTTCCCCAGACCCTACTAAGTGGGATTATATTGGGTTGTTGTTGTTGTTGTTGTTGTAATATACTCATCCCATGGTGGAAGGATGGGTGAATCTTTGCATTTCATGTAAGACTGATGCCAAGCTAGGGCATCATCATCCAGATTCATGGATACTATGTTTACTTTCTGATTTCCAGCGGTATTGTCAACAGCAAAACATCGATCGATCCTATACAGCCAGCTTTTCAAATTTTCCCCATTAAATCTAGGAAATAACATATTATGACCTCAATTGTTATGAGCATGATAAGGATTAGGGCCTAAAATTCCCTGACCTGATTGCAGCACATTATCTCGAACATTGGAAGTAGAACTGCTGTCTCGTGACTGTTGATGAAGCTGCATTCCATCGATCAAGTTTTTGAGGGCTCCGACCATCTGTAACAGTTCAGCATGTCTGTGATCCATGTCAGCTCGCAATTCCTGTGTTTTTTTTCGAGAATTGAACGCAGATCTAATTGCGGAGCAGCTAAATCCTCATATTGCTCCTGCCAATCTAGAGCTGCGAGATCAGTAGCTTTGCGTGGTCCCATGGTGTGGCTCTGATACCAATTGATACCAAAATTGGTATCGATTCAGCAATGAAACAGTAAAGAAGGAGAGAATTGAGAAGGAGAAGGAAGAAGAAGACTAGAAGGAGTTAGAGAGAAGATCAGAACTCTTTAGCATATCAAAAAGTGTGTAATAAGAGTTTACAACTTGCTACTTATGATCCTAAACAATCTACTGAAATGAAAAAATGCAAAATGAGCTGAGATTACATTCTAACTGAATTTCCCGCCAAAGCACTAAAATTCAAAAAGTAACAGCTATTCAAATTATCCTACTCTGAGGTGGCTTCCACGTCTGGTATCTCAGAATTATGTGTATCAGATTCAATCCCATTCCCCTCTCAATGTTTTTTTTAAATTAAATGATGCATATTTTCAAATAAAGCAAGCATTTTGACTAGGTTAAGAAGATTCTAGTACATTCTCATCCTTCCTCTTTCTGTTCAGGGAAATTGATGACCGCTTAGAATACCTTCCACATTCTTCTGATCCTTTCACTTTCTCTTCTGCCTCATCCTCCTTATGTTTTTTGCTCCCATTACTCTCTTCTTCCACAGCAGAATCTTTCGACCTCTTTCTGCCGCATTTTGGACGCCAAAAAAACTGTAAAGAAAGCTAATACTTAGAGAGCAGAAGACAATTGATGGGTATTTTGGAGGGTTTTGGTAGGATTTAAGGCAGAAAGGAGAGGAAAGTTGTACGGAGACAACCCCCCCGCCTATTTTGGGAAATAACGGTGTTAGGTACTAACATGATCTAACTTTACTTCCCAACAACAACAACAAATCAAGTATAATCCCACGAGTGAGCTATGGGCAATGTGTAAGTATACACCTTACCCTGCCTTTGAAGTCATAGAAATTATTTTTGATAGACCAAGAAACGAAAATAAAGTAATATGAACAAATGACACAATATGTAATAATAAAGAATCCGGAACAAGAAAAAATACACAAATAGTACTTGCAGTAAGACGAAGAGACACTAACGACTACCTGTCAACCTTCCACCCTAATTATCGATCTCCACCCTTTCCTATTGAGGGTCATGATCTCGATAAGTTGGAGCAATAACATGTCCTACCTAATCACATCACCCCAATAATTCTTTGGCCTACCCCTATCCTTCTCTAGACCCGCTATGGTCAACCTCTCACACCTCCTGACCCGTACATCTATGTCTCTCCTCTGCAAATCATCTCAGCCTCGATTCCCGCAATTTGTCCTCCACCGAGGCAACACCCATCTTGTCATTAACTTTACTTCCCAAGTTAAAGTAAATTAGTAGTAATGATCCTTTATGGTTCGTGAATTAATTAAAACACATGAAATGTTTATATTGCTTAGTTTTTTTTTTAATGACGATAATGTATGCGCACTTGACTAGTTAAGCTCATTTGTTGAAAAATAAAAGAATAGTAATTTCTATCGTTAAATATTCAATCTAACCACAAGTTTTCTGCCGCAATAAACCTCACTGTTATATGTTCCAATAAGCCCAACAAAAGCCCCTATGGTCACTAGCGTGCCACAAAACTCATACGTAGTAAAATGATTTAGCTAAAGGTATCAGGAATATGATTGATTGCTTATAAGTCGTTGCATACTTGCATTTTCATCATTGAATAGCCTTCTAAAAGTTAATTTCCAACCCTGTTGTTTCTCTGCATCTTCAATTGTAGCTTCTGGCTAGAGTCAAACCAAACAAATCAGAGAAGAGATCTTTAAGAAGCCCATGTTCCAACCGGCTATAATTCCAAATTTCTACCATCTCCCTCTTTATATCCAATATTTGTAGCAAAAATGAACTGGTGAGCTCCAATAGATCTCCACATGACCACCCCAAAAGCAGATCTTACTGGATTTGTGCACCATCACCACCCCTGCTGTCCATATTTGTGGTTGATCACTTCCCTCCAAAATGCTTGTTCTTTATTATTGTATCAACTTCATAAAGATTGCTGTCTCACAGAATCAAGTCTTTGAGTTTTGCAAGTAAAAGGAATAGATACATCACATATGTAGGCAGAGTCCAAAACACTATTCACCAATACCACCAAAGTAAAGGTATTGAGTCTTCCGCCTTTGCCAAATCTCTTTTCAGTTCTTTCAGTAACACAACTCCAGATTCAATAACCTTGTTTTTTGAACCAAGAGAATGGGGAAAAAAAAGATAAGTTTTCTTGCATAAACCTTCACTAGGTCTTGCAAAATAACTGGAGTTCAAAAGGCTCATACGTACAAGGATGTAAAAACTCGAGAGCAATACAATCAATAACTTTCGATGAGAACAGAAATATAAAAAGGAAATGATAATGCAGGGAGATTAATGAACCCACATCAGCTAAAGCATCACTCTCAGGATGCATTACAAAGTTCAATATTACAAAACACTTCTGGTGAAGGACAAACACGAAAAAAAGCTCTAGGTTTACTCCTGATTGAACCTGATTTAGAAGACCTAAAGTCAGAAATTGTATCACAAAAATTGCTTTTGAGCAGATTAAATAGTACTGCTTCTGTTGCTCGATAATCCTAAATCATTTACAAACATTCTCAACACAAAGTATGTACCANCAACAGCTACCAGTCCAGCATTCATATGGCTCCGTATGAGGCGTTGTATGGTAGGCGATGTCGGCCTCCAGTTGGATGGTTTGAGCCGAGAGAGGCTCGATTATTGGGTACAGATCTGGTTCAGGAGGCCTTGGACAAGGTCAGGATTATTCAGGATAGACTTCGTACAACTTAGTCCAGACAAAAGAGTTATGCAGACCACAAGGTCAGAGATGTTGCATTCATGGTTGGGGAGCGGGTATTGCTCCGTGTGTCGCCTATGAAGGGCGTGATGAGATTTGGGAAGAAGGGCAAGATTAGCCCTAGGTTCATTGGCCCATTTGAGATTCTTGAGCGTGTGGGAGAGGTGGCTTATAAACTTACTTTGCCGCCTAGCTTGTCGGCCGTGCATCCAATTTTTCATGTATCTATGCTTCATAGGTATCACGGCGACCCATCCCACATGTTAGATTTTAGCACTGTACAATTGGACAAGGGTCTGTCTTATGAGGAGGAGCCGGTGGCTATTCTAGACCGGCAGGTTCGACAGTTGAGGTCGAAGAGTTTTCCTTCGGTGCGTGTTCAGTGGAGAGGCCAGCCTCCTGAGGCATCGTCCTGGGAGTCCGAGTCCGATATGCGGAGTCGCTATCCTCATTTCTTTCCCGATTCAGGTACTTCTTTCTTTTGTCCGTTCGAGGACGAACGGTTGTTTTAGAGGTGGAGAATGTGACGACCCTAAGGGTCATCACCGTAGTTCTTCCTTGTTCCGCACTTTCGAGGCCTTGTAAACCTCGCTTTGAGTTGCCTTGATTGGCGTGCGCAGTTCGGGCGCGTAGCCGGAATGTTTTTATGTTAGAATATGTGAATTATGTGAAAAATTTGATGAATTTCGATATTAATATGCATAACATTGACTTCGGTCAACATTTTGGGTAAACGGACCCGGACCTGTGATTCGACGGTCCCGGAGGGGTCCGTAGAAAATATTAGACTTGGGCGTGTGCCTGGAATTAAATTCCGAGGTCCCAAGCCCGAGAAATGAATTTTTGAAAGAAATTGTTTTTCTGAAATTTGTTATGAAAATTTGAAATGNCCAAATCTCTTTTCAGTTCTTTCAGTAACACAACTCCAGATTCAATAACCTTGTTTTTTGAACCAAGAGAATGGGGAAAAAAAAGATAAGTTTTCTTGCATAAACCTTCACTAGGTCTTGCAAAATAACTGGAGTTCAAAAGGCTCATACGTACAAGGATGTAAAAACTCGAGAGCAATACAATCAATAACTTTCGATGAGAACAGAAATATAAAAAGGAAATGATAATGCAGGGAGATTAATGAACCCACATCAGCTAAAGCATCACTCTCAGGATGCATTACAAAGTTCAATATTACAAAACACTTCTGGTGAAGGACAAACACGAAAAAAAGCTCTAGGTTTACTCCTGATTGAACCTGATTTAGAAGACCTAAAGTCAGAAATTGTATCACAAAAATTGCTTTTGAGCAGATTAAATAGTACTGCTTCTGTTGCTCGATAATCCTAAATCATTTACAAACATTCTCAACACAAAGTATGTACCATTCCTCATTCTACCTAATCTTCCACAGTCTGAATCTCTCCCATCATTATCCGGTTACTAACCACATTGAAGCCCAACTCTGAAAGGTTAACCTTCTTCCCCTTCTTACCCTTCTTCTTTCCTCCTTTTGTGGCCCCATCCTGCACACTTGAATTACCCTGGTCAAATCCAACGCTGTCAGAAGTCACATCTCTGGCATCTACACCAGTGACCTTCCGAACATTCCGACCCTGGAAGGCCATCTCAAAAACATCCGCAGGCAAAAAGTCTTTATAGTTGAGGAACTTGTCAATGAACTCATGATCAGGATCATAAGAGCCAAGATTCTCAATTAGAAGCATTTCAGCCTCTGATTTGGATTGCTTGAAACAGAACTCCAGAAAGCTGGTATCTGAAGGAACAAGAATTGGTACCACATCAGACAAACTGTCAGTATAGTTCTTTTTTGAGAAAGGACTGTCAGTACAGTTCTATGTACTGTTATAATCTTAGGTTGTTCTACGAGTAAGATTTAGGAGCCATATCAAGGAAAGAATAAACTGAAAGATTCAAGAAATTTCACTACTACGATGTCGAGTTAAAAATATGGGCAGCGCTGTGCACTAAGCTACCGCTATGTGCGGGGTCCAGAGAAGGGCCGGACCACAAGGGTCTATTGTACGCAGTCTTACCCTGCATTTCTGCAAGAGGTTGTTTCCACGCTCGAACCAGTGACCTCCTAGTCACATGGCAACAACTTTACCAGTTATGCCAAGTCTCCCCTTCAAATATAAGGGATGATAATTTATTCAAGGAACTAGAGATATCTAAATCAAGTGAGAGAGCTGCAGCTCCAAAAAATACCTCTTGTACCAATGAGTCTGTCACATTCATTCTCACACCATTCTCTAAAATCCATTGCTTCTGAAACAGTGAAGCAAAGTGTATTAAAACCTTTTCGTCTTCAATTTTTTTTCTAATGAGAAGCAATGCATTACTTCAGATTTTCATTAGGTCCACACCAAAAAACACCATATGGTTACCTGAATGCTTTGTTAGAGCATCCTTCTTCCCTTTCAGGGACGAGTGAGCTGATGCAGGAGACGATGATAGTAAACGCTCTGCGGGCTTACCGCTAACAGACTTTTGCCTGCTCAATGAACCACCAGGATTTCCTTTCACTGGTGTGGTCTTGCTTCCCCAACTGCCTTGATTTCCAAGCTGAGGAAATTCAGACCTGCAGGCATTACAATATATAAAGTCCTACCAACAAAGAGAAGGGAGAAAGAAAAGGGGCGGGAGAAGACAGAAAGAGGGGGGCCATACTGCTTTGTCTCTTGCTTAGGATGATCTACTGGGCCCCAGAACAGATCGTCGTCCACTTTATTCTTTGAATTAGCGCCAGCTTGTGAGTGAATCTGAATAGGAGATGCAGTCTTGGCAGGCGACGAACCAGTGGCAGACCATGATGGACCACCCACTCTGGCAGGTGGATTTGGCACAGATTTCTGAGTTGGCACTGGTATATGCTGCTGTCCAGAAGAGACCTTTTTTTCTTGTTCCTTTAGGATGTCCCTTAAAGATGTGGGTTTTGAGAGTTTCCCAGAGTCAGTAGACCATGCTGGAGCAGGAATAGGAGCAGGACTTGTAGCCTCACCTTTCCAAACAACAAAATCTCCTAGCGAAGGACCAGATGGTATAGCAGGTAGTACTTCCTTGTCTGGTTGTACCTGGCGCGAGCTCTTGACTTTGTCAATAGGACTTGATCCAACAGGGACTTCCGAAGCAGCAGTGGACACTGAGACCTTTGCACCTGCACCCTTAGATTTTGCAGATTTTTTGCGGCTCTTTTTAGTGTCTTTAGCTTCAATGAAGTTGTCATCGTCGTTGACAGGTACAGAAGGTGGAACAAATGTCATATCAGGAAAATCTCTCTCTCTTTCGCCTGACTTGGCCGAAGTGTTGTCAGCCAGTACTTCATGCAATTGACTTTTCTTACTCTTTTGGTTGACAGAAACATCTGAATTGTTCTTACTCTTTTGGTTGAGAGAAACATCTGAATTGTTCTTACTCAAACTATTGTCGGAAGCATCTTGCTGAGTATCTCTAACTAATTTATGATCTGAATTAGTAACAACCCCAGCCCACGGAGTAGATACACTCAAGGAACTGAGGGATGTGGCAACCTCCGTAATAGCTATTTCTGCTTGTGCTCTCCTCTGCTCTTCCTCTTGAATTTCCAACAATGACTTTGGCTTGAAACCAGGAGCAGGTTTCCAAGCTCGCTGTCCAGACTGTACTTGCGTGTTGAACTGTGAAACTGGTGGAATTTGCCCTGTTTCACCTTTTGTCTCCACAGTTGCGTGAGCAGACAATGGGTTTTGCCCTGGATATTCGCCCACAACATCAGCAAAAGCTACTTCAGTTTTGCTATCTCTTTTTTCTGGACCTACAGCTGTAGTTTTTTCGACTGAAACAGATTGTGCATCAGATTTGGCATCAGAAGCAATCACGGCATCAGATTGCAAGGGCTTTGATGGCTGCAACTTAGAAGCTCCCTTCGTTAAGTCAGAAGCTTGCCCCTTGGTGGACTTTTGCTTCTTCGACTTCTTTTCAGATGATTTTTTTACTTCCCGCGGTTCAACACTTTTCAGTTCCTTTGTGACAGAAAGCCCATTGTGTGGATCTCTTTCAACCTGTGGCTCCGAGGGAATTGCAGCTGGCGGTGATTCAAGTTTGTTTTTCTGATGGAGGTCATTATCAACAGCTGGTGGTGGTGGTGGTATAACAGACTTTTCTACTTGCTCAATAAGCGGAAAATGAGAGGCAATTTCAGGAGTGGTAACAGCCAGAGGTTCGTTGTTTTCCGCGCCCTCTAGGGGATGTTTGCTGGCAATTTCTGTATGTGATGATGGGTCAATCATGGCTGTTTCCATCCTTGAGACCTTTTGTTGAATATCATCAATTTGTTCCTCAAAACCCCAACTCCTCTGACTGGAAGCATCTTTAAACATTTGATGTGGCAAGTGCAATGATGAGGTCTCAAAACTACCTATTTGGGTGACATCCTGAGAAATGCTCGGGGGCAAGACAAAGTTTGATGCATGAGCTTCTTCCATGACTGGATGTTGTACTTGTGTATTCATTGAAAACAAATTAGGTGAAGGCTGGAAACGAGTAGGATCCACAGTAGCATTTCCCGCAGATATGCCAGGAGTTGTCAACTTGCCATAAGGTTGTTCACCAAATCGCTGATGAGGATGCGGATCAGACAGCACCTGCGAGAGCAACTGCTGCTGCTGGCGCAACATTAGCTGCTGTTCCTCCTGTTTCTGCTGCTGCTGCTGCTGCTGCTTGAGCATCAACAACTTGTCTAACAATGACAATTGCTGCGGTCCTCCTAGTGCTGCCTGAGACTGTAGCTGCATCAAGTACTGTTGTTGCAATAGATTTAACAACTGTGGATCTTGAACGCCAGATGAAAGTAGCTTCTCAGTAGCCAAAATGTTGGAAGTATTATCCATGGCTTGGCCTAGTAAGTTGGTCATAGGTGGACTCTGCGGGTGTAGCCTTTGTTGTTGCATTCCAAATGCAGATTGAGGGGGCATACTCTGACCTTGATGCATGTCCATCCTTTCCTGTAGCGATTCTAATCCCCCTTGGACGGGGAAATTAGACCATCCACTAACACCGCTACTAATGCCAGCTGATCTGTCTGGTACACCCTGAAGTAGAGACATTAAATCAACATTCTGATTATGGGGCTGCTGACGAACATGTTCAGCCATAAAAGGCAGTTTTGAATGAGGCAAAGGATCCTGAACATTATCCACATTTGGAACAACAGATGGTGCATCTCTCCCAGGCCAAAGAGGAAAGGGCTTTGGTAGAGATCTCTGCCTCTCAAGAGACATCTTTTTAGCCAAGAGATACAGATTATCTCCACTTTCAGCTACAATAGGAGGAACGGCACCAGTACTATTTGCAGCATAAGCCGGAATGCCTGCCGAGCAAGAAAAGCAATAACAAAGCATCAGTTGAATATTAAGGAACATCTTTTCAATTTTTGAAGCTTCAATTATTGAAACAAAATATGAGCATAGAAAACAATCATGCAAAATTGTAGAGGAATACTACTGAAAAATAACATCCAAACTAACCTTCAGACTGAGCAAACTTGTCAAGCGGTGCATGGCTCACTTTGCCAGACATCAGCGATTCCAAGAATCTATTCTCAGCCTCTGTTGCTGAATGCTTGTAATTCAGTTCTGTCTTTACCTTATCAATCTCAGTTGAACCTGCATGAAGTTTTGTGAAGCTGCTCAGGTTCAACCCCCCTGGAGCATCTGCATTTGGCTTTGGTGCTCCAAATCCAGGTGGTGGCCGAGCCTTAGCACGCAAGTGGGGCATAACATCCCCCAGCAGAGAAAATGGTGAATCAGGCGGTGCAGCAGCTAATCGAACTTGCAAATCTATGCCAAAATATCCAGCCTCAAACCATCCAATAATATCACTACCTGAGAAAGGACCTTGAATAGCACCTTGTGGATCTTTGTATAATAGAACTAGGTCCTCCGGAGATGACTGTGAAAGTTTCCTCGTTTCCAACTCTTTGTCCATGACTGCAGACAATTGCCTTTTGAGAACAGTATCTCCAAACTGCCATTTGGATCCTTCATCTTTGGCATAAGATGGATCTGTGAAATCTCTTTCCCATTCTGTATTCTTATCCTTCTGGCTCTGTAGCCAGCCAATGTCAGATGTTTTTGGCCTGACATCGGATGGCCTTTCCCTAGCATCATTAGCCACCATATGTGAACGTGCACCAATTGAAGGAGACCGCCATATGCCACCGTGGAGACCAGGTGTGTGTCCTGGTGTGCTTGGATCTCTATTGACAGACTCGCTTTCTCTATGAGGAATATTGTCTTCTACTGAAAATGAACATAAATAATAAGTTCAAACAATCTACTGAAACCCAATTATAGATAAACAAGCATTATAGACAGATCTTTTTAACAAGTAACACCATAATTCAGAAGCAACTCTCTCAGAAGACAACTCTGTTTACTGAAAGATATATACAACTAACAGATTAGCTTATGTATTTGGATCTCGAGGTTTCAACAACAAGACATCCAAACCATAGTTGACATTTAAGATTTTTAATTGACTACATCCCGATGAACTGCATAGTACATCAAGGGACAAAAATCCACAAATATATCTTCAACACCTAATTTGGGATCAGAAAATCTCTTAAAATTCTGCTTATTCTCAGATTTAGAACTGAACCCATATGAATGAAGTTTTTCAAAGGAAAAGCCTTCAGGATGATTTGAATAACCACCTTTGGCATTGTCAATACTTTCTTCTCTGGAATCATCAAGTGATAAATCTTCTCTGCTACCTGAGCATTTGAGAAAACAATGATGACAATCAAAACCGTAGCACAAACCAACTAATTTGGGATCTTAATTAATCTAGATTCAGAAATCCCCAAAAGCTGATCTAACAATAAGTACCTAGTTTGTTACGCCTTGGCTGCGTATAATCAGTTGAGTTTCGACCTAATGTTCCATCTTTAGTAACCTGCGGAGCTCCACTACTCAGAACATCCCCCTTATCAATTCCCTTCAAGATACCCTATACATAAATTTGAGCAGTCAGACTTCATCCAAACAAACTAAATATCAGATTAAAATCGTTATACTAAGTAAATATATTCAAATCTCTCTGCATGTTACCAATTCCTCAGGACTGGGTGCACATAATGCGAGAGGTTCCAGAGGTTCGTCTTGTGTAAGTGAAGGAACTTGCACAATCCCATCTGAAAACTTGCTACAAGACCGCATGTCTATCACTCTATACACATCAAGCATTTTTATCCGGCTATATCGTAAAGGAGAGGACACACTTTCAGCTTTCTCTGAGAATGACCCAAATGACTGCAAATGAGGAGAGCCTTTATTCACGGGGCTCACTCCAGAGAGAGCACGACCTCTACCAAGAGAAAAAGTAGTGGTGGCCCCATCTTCACGTCCACGGCCATGAGAAAATGTAGGAACCTGTTTGTTTGGCGTCGAACCCTGATGAAGAGATTCTGCCCTTCCTCGGCCGTGAGACGTAGATCTCCATGGCCGATAGTGGTCATCCTCTCTCTCATCCTTTCCAGAAAAGGCAAGACCTTGAGACCCCTTTTCAAGATGCATCTCAGCATCTTTGCTAGGGTTGCTCCATTTCTCACGCACAGCATCACCTTCCTTCTCATCAGGCCCCCAGCGCGTGTTCCACTTGCTCTCTCGACGCTGATCGTGATTGCTTTCCCTATTTCCAGAATCAGTCCATCTTTCACCTGGAACACGTCGTCCTTCTCCATGATTTCTGCCAGAAGAGTCAGACCAGCGTTCCACCTTGCGGCCCTCACCAAGCTCCTTATCTCCCTCCCTCCAGCGGTCCCTTCGAACAGCAGAATTGGTGTCCCTTTCTTCATCACGCCAGCGGTCCCGTCGACCGGGTTCCATATCGAGCACAGATGGCCTAAAAACATCTTTCTTCTTTTGATTATCATTTGTATCGTCACCCATCCCTGGAAATTTTGCTAACTCAGAATGAATAGCATAACCGGGATGTGTACCGAGATGGTTGTCCTGCATTTAAACACCAAGAGATGACCAAAACATTTGTGATTTGACTCATTTATGAATTAATAATTCAACAAACCGATACCCAATTTAAGCAGAAACCCTCAACTGCTTATATCATAGCTCTAAAATACTTCTCAAAAAGGGGGAAACGGTACAGGATTTAAACAAGGAAAATCCAAAGAAATAATGAACACACCCCGGTAACTATCCCAGCCTTACTCTCCCCTGGCTTTGGCAGGAGCCACTGAGGTGAAAGTGGGATGGAATTGTTGGGTCCTTGCACATCTACATGTATCAAAACAAAGATAACTTAGCAATAAAGATATAATCTTGCATAACGACAAATACAAATTGGAATCAAAACACCCTTTTCATTATTTCTGTACTAATGTTAATAACGAAAATATAAGACGCTACACATAAACCCTTTAAGTAATTATATGAAACTTCTACCATTCATGGAAATTCCAAGGGGTCCACATTAAAAACTATTTACAGGAGCAGGGAATTTGCAAGTCTTGTAACTGATCAAAGGCGTGTAAAATAGAGAAACAGAATGATACCTTCAAGAGATAACATCCCACCTTCAACTTTGAAGTGCTCAATGAAAATTCAAAGCTTTACCAAAAAATGCAGTAGATTTATATAAATCAAATAGCAACATTAGGATACCTAACTTACACGCAGAAGTAGTCACTTCTTATCTCTCACAAATACAAAAAGATACTAGCAATTGTATGCTCTGGTTCTCCTTATTGGTAAGGCCACTTTAATCATGCCTAAATTCATTTCCCAACATTTGTTCTTCATTTCAATTAGAGCGTAATCCAACACTATTTCATATTATTACCATCAATATACCTGTACACTTGGAATCAAGATAACGGTGGTCATGATGGAAACAACATTTGAAACCAGATGAAATCCAAATGTCCAACTTAATTGAGAAACACGTAGTACCAGTATAAAGTGGCTCTCTTTATTAAGCCACATCATGTGCCATAAGAAAATTAA